TGACTGCTCATAATTCCTCAAGGTATACAGGACTCCCTTTTGGAATTGACAAATCAAAAAGTGAGGCTTTTGAGTATGTTATTGATTCTGTCAGAAAAAGGTTGGTGAGCTGGAGGAACAAATACCTGCCAACAACAGGTAAAAAGGTGCTAATTAAAGTTGTCATCAACTCTCTACATGTATTTTCTATGTCATGATTCAAATTAACTACATGGATTTGTAAAGAAATTGCCAGTATAACAACTCAATTTTGGTGGAGTAAGAGGAAAGATCAAGAGAAGGGCCTACACTAGAGGAACTGGAATCTACTAGCTCTACCAAAAAGGCAAGGCGGGTTGGGGTTCCAAGACATCAAGTGTTTAATGTGGCTTTACTGCTGAAACAATTATGAAGAATCACAAGCTAGCCTGGCCTGCTTGTCTCCCAAATTCTCAAGAGTAGGTATTACCCTAACACATGAATCGTTTAGGCTGCCAGAAAAGAATCATTCTCATGGATCTGGAACAATTGGATGCAAGTGCTACCTATTTTCAAATCATATTGTTGGAAAGAGATTAGATCAGGCATGAACACTAAGATTCTGGAAGGTGGTTGGGTGCCAAAACTTGGTGGCATAGAACCAACATTTCAAATAGCAGCAGACACCAATCCAATTTGGGTTCAAGAACTTCGTGATGCCTCTGGTAGAAGATGAAACACATAAATGGTGAAACATCTTTTTTTTTTTTTTTCAGATCAGAAGAGTGAAGCAATCCTTGATACTAACACCATTTAACCATACAGGGAAGATATGTGGAGATGGGCCATAAACAAAAAAAGGGTTATCCACAGTTGCAGACTCTTTACACATTTCTGGTTACATAAAAGGCGAAGGTACTTGATATTGCAGAAGGAAGTAGGTCTGTGATGGTGGACTCCTCAGTCAAGGGCAAAAGATGGACAGTGAAGGTGAAATGAAGGATCAAATACTTTATATGGAAGTTTTTCACTGGAATTTTGTCTGTGGGGGTGAACTTGAAGAAGAAAGGTGTAGATGTGGATGTGATATGTAAAGTGTGTGGAGAGGCAGAAGAAATAGTTGAACATCTTTTTCTTCACTGTTGCGAAGCTAGAATAGTATGGAAATTGACTCTAGTTTCTTGGGAAGGAAATAATCTGCAGAACACTACTTCGAAACATGGTGGTGGTAGTTGTGTGCTTTTGATAAAATTGAAACCTCTGAAGCTCGGATCGAACTTTCTACATACATCCTATGGTAGCTATGGAGGCCTCGAAATCTGCGGCTATTTAGTGCAGAGAAACTACCAGAAATTGTATGAGACCAGGAAGAGTTATGGTACAAACCGTCGTGCAAACCATATGAGATTATTTTTGCATTATAGGCAAAATTACATTTTTTGTCCTGCTGGTTTAACGCTGTAGCATTTTTTTTGTGCCAAGATTTTAATTTTTTCGTCTTTTGATCATGTAATTTAGTATTTTGTTGCAATTTCAGTCCTTTGGTGCTGAAATTGCCTCAAAATTTAAAATTACAGGACTTAAATTGCATTGAATTTTAAATTTTGTTGCATTGAATTTTAAATCCTGTAATTTTAAATTTTGTTACATTTTCAGTCCCAAATGATTAAAATTGCGTTGAATTTTTAAAATCATAAAACCAAATAGCAAAAATTGTTCAATTCTTAGGACTAAAAACGCCACTAGATCAAACCAAGAAGACTAAAATTGCAATTTTGTCTTATCAAACAAAATTTTTTATAGTTACCTGTAATGCAATTGTCAAATTCTAAAAAAAAAATTACAATTGTCGCCTATTGTTTGATAGAAATAAAAGAGCATAAAACATAAATTAAAATTTATAGCCACCTGTAATGCAATTGACAGATTCTCAAAAAAATTATAATTGTCAAATTCTCAAAAAAAATTCTACAAAGACTATTATATTCATGAGCTCTACAAAGACAACTATTCTGATCATCTGGGCACGAACATGAATAATGAAGGGTTGTCCTTGTCCAATGATTCAGTTTTAGTTTTTTGTTTCATTTATTATTAAAAAAAATAAAATTCACCAATAACTATTTTATGTTTTTGGATGCAAAAAAATTATTTAGAGTTATCCGATGATTTCTTATAAAGCAATCCACCACTTAATGTGTTGACACCTATCCAAATTGTATTTATTGTAGGACACGTATCAATACACTATTGGTGAATAAGTGTGGATGCCTCCATAAGTCGAGTCATCCGATGGCTTCATAACAAAACTGTTTGGATGCATTGGATATGTATTCCATATCAAAGTTTATCTTTTGAACATTCATAGTATTGATTTACATTCCATTCATTAACATGTGTTAAAGTTTACTCCTTCCAGAAGACTGACATTATTGGAGAGGCTCTAGCTCGACAGAAAATCTCAGTCACTGACAAGTAATTTAGCAGAGCTGTTACGGAACAAAAGTCATCATAATCATACAAATAAATAAACATGAATACAAATGAAGAAGCAAAGTATTGTACACGCCGTCAAACCTAGTTGGCTACTTCCACAGCTCGCCTCTTTCTTGAGTCGCATAAAAGCCACCTTAGGAACGAGTCCCAGATATTGGAATATAACTTAACTTTGAATTAATGCAAAATAAATCTTCAAACTTTCACCATCATTTTACTCTTGAGCAGCAACAAAATGCAGTAGGAAAGTATAAAACCAGCAAAAGTACGGGTCATGAGAACATTCGTAGGAAGTTGTTAGCGTACGCCATGGGTTTGACATCAGGGTGTGGCTGCATTTCACAAAAAGAAATAAATGAGTAATAATCAATTGACAAATATAAAATCATAAAAAAGATATGCAGAAATCTACAGAACACAACAGCGTAGCCCTAATCATCTTGATGCAAAATGAAATACCCTTCCAGCATTTGTTTCTTCATTTTTCCAATGACTTGAAGCATGTTTCGCAAGGGAAAAAAGGTTACCATTACTAAAATTGCAAGCAGAAAAGAAGCTACTTACCACTGAAGAAAATGTAACGATGTTGGGTTTCAGATCTGGGGCTTCAAAACGAATAAATGCCCCTTTGTTTCCCATCTGTTCCAATCGAAAGAAACTCAAACATAAGAATCACGTTCATAAAGCATACCGGTTGCAACAAATAGTCTGCGTGGATATTTCAATGGCAAAGAAAGGCAAAAACTTATCAATATTGCTTCAGACAGATCCCCCCCAAACGTCAGTCTTTCAGTTACTTTTTTCAGTTTTCGAGTTTCTTCCTTCGGGTTTCTAGTTATTATTTTCTTCTTTCAGTATTCTATTTCCAGGTATTTTTTGTAATTGTTTTCAATGTTAAGATCCAACTTTAGAGCACTATATTTGGGGGAAGAAATTAATTATGAAAGTAGGAAAATAGGAGGAGACCATTAAACAACTTATATTGCAAACTTGGCGAAAGGAGATGAACTTACTAGTCTATAATAGACGTACAAGTTATATCAGAGAAGTAGGCCATGTTACAGCAATCCACATCCCGATACATTTTGAAAATTGGAATTTATACAATTGCCAATTTTTTATTTTTTATTTTTCAAAATTTATAGGTTTGACAAATTAAAAATTTAGGAGAAAGTGGAGGTCGCGGCTCACTAAATTAGTGCAGTTTAGGGGAAATAAGAAATTTCTCCTGAACAACCTTACACCTCAATATCTAAACAATATCTATAAGATAAAATAATAGATCACTTGTCCATGCTGCTATAATAACAGTATATGCCCATCATATCAAGGCTTAGGATACGTTTTAGACTAAGATGGACCAAAGAAACAACATTACCTGATCACAGTAGTTTGGAGCAGAAAACACAGTAATTAGTTTTCCGTCATGCTCAATTTCATAACCTTCATCCTTAACCTCATGTGACCGCACTACCAAATCTGTAATTAAAATCATGTATATCGGTAAGATAATACAACAACAGGAACTATTGGATGAAGGTAGTTCACATCAATGAGAGAGAGAGAGAGGGTAACCTAGGTTGTTATCCTGCAAAAATCTTTTTGTTACATCAGCACCAAATGAAAGACCAACACCACGCTTGCTTGGTCCCCTTCCAAGCTGGGGTTGTGGATCACTCCACAACAATTCACACATCAGCCCTAGATAGAAGCAACAGATACTGCTTGAATACTGCCAACTATATCACCATTGTTAAATGACATTAACATGCACATATAAGTTAAACCATTTTAAAGTTACGCTTTTGTTTGTCAAGTTAGCAACTGAAAAATTTACCGAAAGGTCAGACTCACATGTGCTAGAAGCATAAGATTTTTGCAGCCAAAAAAAAGGTTAGAGATTAATCCCAGACTCAGAGTCATTCCCAAAGAATACATCCTCCCAAGCTATCAGATGACACTACGAAAGGACTAACCAAAACTGACCAACTAAAACTGGTGTCTCGTTACATATAAGGATCAAACAAGTTCCATGGAACAACCCAGCTTCCCTTGTACTCGATAAGGGAGGGAACAACCAGCCAGACGTTTCTTTTACATTGAATTGACAAGTTTTAAAGACTGAGGAAACCACCATAAGGAAGGGAACAACTAGCCAGACGTTTCTTTAACACTGAATTGACAAGTCTAAAGACAGACATAACCAAATTCATTTATGAGGATCCGGTTGGAAACTGATCACATGGAATTTCAGGGTTCTGAAGAGACAAGACCATTAAAAAAACATAGCTCGCCTCTCATGAAACACATGTTATAGGGCTTGTTCCAAAACCTTGAACGCTCAAACAACACCACAGCAATAACAAAAAGTCATACAAGTTTTTGGAGTCTGCCTGACATGGAGCTCAGTTAGCATTCCTTGCACAACTTATAATAAAATGATTCAGTTAATAATTGCAAACATTACAAATGAAAATACTTTTTAAACATGTATCATCAAGAGGAATGAATACACGTCAAACAACGCTAGTAATGCTGGAAATGGAACCTTTTATAAGGCAAGGCAATACTACTATAACTAGACAGACTGGATCTGGATGAAATAAGGAATATTGTATTTCAAAGCTTACCCTCTTCCGGAGGCTCACAAAAACGATCAACTGCTTTAATGTCAGAGAGCTTTACGCCATCAACACTGAAAAGACCTCCATGGACTACAAAAACTTTCTCATTTATTACATGAGCCAAAGGTAAGCAACAGAACACCTCCGCAAATAGCTCCACGAATGTATCGCTTAATTTGGATTTCACCTCACCCTCAAAACCATATATCTTATTCATGCTCTTACTCTCATGGTTCCCTCGAGAAAGATATATTGCTGGAAATAATGTACATGTGCATATATCAGATCAAAGGTTATATTTTGTGAAGCTGTGAGAACAGATCAACAATGATAAAGTGACTGAAATTATAACCATCAAAATACCCACCAGACTAAGCATCTGTATTAGCAAAAAAGGTTAAGGATAATCCCATGGAACATGTTGACACCTTTTATATTTCCCATTCCATGGAAATGTGTTTCATATTGCTTCTATGTTGTGAACTATCCAGCACTGTATCAATTAATAGGCCTATCTGTTTCATACATCCTCACCAATTATAGTTGAACAAAACAGACAGTCAAACACTAATATAAACCAAACAGCAAGAAGCATGAATCACCTGATGGAGACATGCACTTAAAGGCAAACAGAGTGAGGATGACCTCGACTGAAAAAGAGCCCCTATCTACGAAGTCCCCATTGAAAAGATATGGATTATCTTCGGAAGGTAGTCCATTCAGCTCAAAAATATTTATCAAATCATAAAACTGCAACCACAAAGTGAGTCATGTAGATATTATATTATTATTGTAACTTTGCATGAAGAAAACAGGAAAATAAAATTGATAATCTTATGTCAGTTGTATGCATTATAATACGCAAAATGATCTGTCAACCAACATAAAAGTATTTAACCCTAAGAGCTCTACAATGCATTGACAGTTGCCTATGTGGCATGTACATAAACCATTGGGTCTAGTTGCCTATGTGGCATGTAAATAAACCCAAGTCTTGGATGACATGGATAAAACTATGCAAAATTAACAAAGTCCACTCCAATGCAAAGAGACTAGGTCTCTATTTGGGTCTACTTGGGTCTAAAATAGACTTAAGAGTAGACCAGGCCTCTTTTTCTGCTGATGTTGATGCATCAGCAGGACACAGTCTACTTTATTTGCATTGGATTATATATTTTTCTAAACTTGGTCTATTTTCTTTGGTGGCGTATAATTTTATGATTGAACCCAAAGCATTGTGGATAACATCATAACTAGAAATACGTTTTTGAAGCAACATAAAAGAAATTATGATAGCCTGTCATTTACACATTGGCATATAGCTTGAATGAAATTCTTTGATTGGTGTGTTTAAAGCATAACACAACATACAATCTACACCAGTTTCTAAAAAATGAATAGACAACTTAAATAGGTTTGTCCACTTGACTATATAGTTATTGTGTTTCCTTACGCGTCAAGTAGAAGAGCACATCCTAATAACTAATTGGGCCCATAGGGTTAGAACACTCACTAGAGTTACGGTTCTATCAAGTAAACTATAGGTTGTTACTTATTATCTTCGTTGATTTGAGATTGTCCAGCTTTAGGCTTGGGGTGAAAGTTCCTTCTCAATTTGGCACTGCGCTTAGGACATGCATTGCCTGTTAAAATTGTTTTCTTTTTTTCAATTTAATTAAATATTTCAGATTTTCAGACCAATTGATATGAGTTTAGGGTTCAGAAAAGAAAATTCACATTAAATTGAAAATGAAACAATTTTAACAAGCAAAGCCGGGCCCAAGAGCAAGCTAAATAAGGAAGAAACTTCCCGCAAAGCCTAAGGCTGACGTTCTATATTTAAAAAAAGATGAACCTAGGTAACAAGCAAAGACTGTACCAGAGAGCAAGCGCCAAATTGGGAAGAAACATACTGGGAAATATTCAATTCAATAATAGATAAAGTGACCCAATGTAATCAAATTTCCAGCACTGATAACAGTAAATGGAACCATAAACCTAATATAACCTTAACAGGTGTTCTAACCATAAGGACCCAAAGCCCGATTAATCCTTTCCTATATATAAATGCAAAGTTTCCTGAACCTATACGTAAACTTTGGTGCTTCGTAACTATATATCTACTTCTAGTGCTTCGAAATCATGTGTCAGTTTCTGTTTATTCGGAATAGTTTATATAGATCTAGACTCCAATCTATGCCTATTAGGCCTTTTAGAATTATAAACACTGGATCAATTCAAATTATAAATATATTTTAAAAATTAGTAACTTTCTAATTTGTAATCATATGTTTATAGACGATATATCAAATTAATTATCTTTTGACGAGCATCAATTTGGCACCCATATAGTATATTGTGTGTCTGTGGGTCCATGTGTATGTTTAAGGTAAAAATTGAATTATCTATAAATATTAATTGGAAAAGTAAAATTATTATCAATTAAATAAATTTCTATCAAGTCCATTATATAATAAGTTAGAAAGATTGTTACAATATAGGAGAGGTAAGTCATACAAGTAACAAGTATTATTTTAAATATAAATAATAATGTAAGCTTGTAAGAATAATTATACTTCTATTTTTTTCAATTAGTTATAAACTTTTATAGCACACATGGATTACAAAGGTGTTGTACTCTACAAGTTAATAAAAAAAAAATAAGACTTGCTCATCTACTTTAAAATGCTTATACTGTCATTTCTACTCAAGGAGAAGATATGTTCATAGGTGAACAATTGAGGCTGCCTAGAAGACTATACAGACATAGAGGTGATATCAATGCATTCATATTACCTGACCATGCACATCACCACAAACAGTGAAGTGCTTCCCAGCAGGAACGGTAATATCAACAAGAGATGGCAATTCTCGCAACAAATCTCTCATCTGCAACACAATCTGGTATGCATATCTGCGAATAGAAAGAGGGATAATAAATAATATAATGAATGTGAAGGAATAACACTCAAGATTCAATGACTTCATTGAATCATTAATGATAACGGTATGAGAAGGATAGACATCCAAATGAAACTTCCTCAAGTATGCTAATACAAGTCAGATATAATAAGGATCAAGGAAAGTGTGAGACATTACTAAGGAAGGTAGCATAACATACCTTTTATGTAAACACTTTTGTTTCTTGAAGTCGTCCATCATTTGCTTCACAAATTCCAAAGTTACATTATCCCCCTCTATTCTTGCACCAGAATACTGCGGCTCCACATCTAGAATCAATAGAAAAATCTAGTTAGCCGCCAGCCATTATTGTTTATGAGTACAGTAAATGAAGTAAGCAATGGAACTTCCAACATGTTATCATGTCTTTTCTATTAAGGACAGATAACACTGAAATGAACTCCATGTGAAAACTTTATCTACCACACATCTCATAGTTGCATAGTACTTGGAAAGGAAAAACAAAAAGGAAATGGAAAAGAAAAAACAAACAAAAAGACAACAGATGCTAAGAGAGTCCAGTATACTGTTTCATACCAATGCATGCAGACATAGCAGCCATCATATTCAAGTAAATGAATTCTATAGCACAGAGAGCAAGAAAAATGAAAAGAAAGGAAGAAGACAAAAACATTTCTATGAAATGACAGATGAAAAGCTTCAGCATTAAATTTTGCAACATACAGAATCATAAACATAAACTACATCAAATTATGCACAAGACAGCCTTTGAGCTCCTTTGGCAAAATGCCACAGAATCTTTTTTTACCAACTCCCATTTTTCAACTACCACATCCAGTGTTTGAACTTCTAAAGAATGCTTTCATACCATCTAAACTTCCATCTCCAACTAAAATCTAAATTTTTGAACCCTAAGTATGCAAACCAAAGAACAATCATGATGATTAAGGCTGCATGTACGACGCATGGCAGTAAAACCATTCCTTTTCAATTTATATGTTTGGCTTCATAGTACCCATGACAAACTACAATGTTGATCATTAATTGTCAGTCTTAACTTGAAAGAAACAAAAAGACTAAATTCTGCCATCTTTTTTTTCTTTTCTTACTATAATCTTGTTCTGTTCTTCACAGCTGATGAAGCAATAACAAAGAAAATCTAGAGAAAGAAAACCAGACATAAGCCATGTCTACATAGTACAAGAAAACTACATATATAAATATTATCTAGAAATTTTTGTTCCTCTTTCTACAGCTACTCCAACTTGTAACACTTAAAACACAACAAATGACAAAAATGGAAACAGCAAGCTTGACTTTGGTAAAATCATTCTTTTAAAAGACTTGTTAGTAGAATCACAAAGGAAACTTTCAAAGGTTATCAATGATTTACACTAGAGCAAAATTATAGAGAACCAATGGTTCTATTACAAAGAACCAACAAGTAAAGCATAAAATAGTCTTATCAACAATTCACTTCTGCATACAGGTTTATCGAAGATATATATTAATCTTACGACTAAAAACTCATTTCAGGGCAGATTGTTAGCTCTGTTACTTATCCTCAATGCTCTATTTGATCTAAAAGTTCTAACCTAAGTTATGTCTTGGGCCCTTGGAGAAAACACAGTCTTTGTAGCAAACCTTCCAACATGTTCCCCAGACCACCATTACAATCACTATAGCTGTTGTTGCCACTGCTATGGTTGCTTGTGTCCCCATAGAAACTGCCACTACAGCTACTGCCACTGCTACAGCAGCAACTTTCAGGGAAATATTAGATGAGCCTGGGCTAGTCCCTATAATGATAAAATAGTGTGTACTAGTAAGTATAAGTGTAACCCGAGTTCATTTGTTATATACTTTTTATATAAAAAAGTACCACCATGTTATATGCTACTCTTACGGTTCTCGCACAAGGGCAATCCTAGACTCAAGAATTCTCCACTTTGTAGAACTATATTTAATTACAGACCGATGTTCACAACCTGGTCATTGGTAAACCCTAGAATTACAGCTACAGCTTTGTCACTGTATGTCCATGATGCACGATGACACAGCCAAAGATTCTTGGAAAAGAAGAATCTCTGAATTCTATTACAACAAATGCCAGATACTATAAAATTTATGCACTCTCCACTAACTGCCGTTTCCATGATTTAAGAATCTTGAAACTTATCGATTAACTAGTATTAAAGATATATTATACTCCAAGCTACAGAAATACGGAAGAAAAGTTGTCTAATTATTTTTTTCCATTTACTGTTGTTTGGCAGATAACAAAGAAGGAGGAGGACAGAAAAACTAACTATGATGCTTAAATACTTCACACACAGGATAAGTTGCACATAAGCATTTGAGGAGGTCAGCTAATTGAAATTAAAGGAAACTATCCGTATCATCTAACAGTCACTCAAGAATGTTTTAGGCAGCTTGTCGAGGCCACAGGGAAGTTAAAATCCATTACAAAGTTATCAAAGTTAACGGAACAACAATGGCAGTAACATTCAGTCCGCAGTGAGTATGATTTGCAGTAACAACTAAACCTAACAGTTCATTAAGAAAATATAAGGACATGAATTATACAGAGTATTCATACCTATAGTGTGGTAATCTATAGAGTCGGCCACAGAATGTTTTTCAGATTCAGGAACAGATATGGCCTCTTCAAATTTTAGTTTCATCACCGCTTTCTCACATTCCTTCAATTTCTTGGCGGCATCAGGATCATTTGGACATATTCTTTTGACCTAAATTGAAAAACTCATATAGTCAAACATAAAATTATTCTGCAGAACTTGGAAGGATGTAAACAGATTCCAAAATAAAAAATTGCAGTAAGAACTTAAAATAATAATAATAATAATAATAATATAATAATAATAATAATAATAACAACAACAACAACAACAAAAAGCATGGGAACATTAGATAAATATAATTCAAAAAATTTTGAAAAACAAATACAGATAGAGCTTCGGAATATGTGATGCAATTCAGGTGTCAGTCATTATGAGTAAATCAAAAGTCATAATTTTTCTGATTTAGTTAAACTGGTAGAAGGCCATTCTGAAGATGAAGAACTTAAAAAAAAAAAGATCATGAATAAAGAAAGATATGCCATAGAAAGTCTTACGAACAACTCAATGTATATTTTGGTACAGCAATGATCTACTGATGCCAAAACCCACAGATGAATCAGAAGCAGAAGCAGAAGCAGAAGCAAGTCAAAAGCACTTATTCCAAGACAATACATGAAACCACAAATATGATACACAATTAACTTTCTATGATGATATACCTAAAGAATAGACTAGTCTCCATTCTCCAGTCTATACTTAACATAACACTGCTAATCTGCCTCAAGAAATGTTATCGAGTAGCACAATAGTTTAAAGAAATGGGAGAAAATAAAAGAAAAGAAAAGGACCTGTTGAAAATCCTTAAGAGCGTCTTTAAACTTGCCCATTCCCAAATATGCAGCACCACGTCTGTAATAACCCTGCGTTGGAAGAGACAGAGACAAATCAGTAACCATTATATTTGATTCCTTAGCCATTTACAAGCCACACACACAACTCAGGGAAAAAAAAAAGAACATTTTTCTCCCACTTTGCTCACAAAAACATCAATCGGTACACAACGGTACTTGCCTTGGAGTATTTTGGATCGATTTCGATAGCCCTTGTGGCATCCTGTATAGCACTTCCATACTCCTCCAATTTAGTGTGTGCAAATGCACGGTTAGCCCAGTACACCGCATTATCCTCATTCAGCTCTATCGCTTGGGTATACAAATCAACAGCCTGAGAATATTTATGCGCTGAAACATAACAACCACCAAATTATTAGCATATTAGCACCAAAATGCACATATTATCGATGATAAAACAGATAAAATCAAATGAAAGACAACTAATCCGTTATTATACCTTTAAAAGCCTCATTGGCGAGGAGTTTGAGTTCTTCAGCTCGCGAGGGGTTTGCAGAGTTTTCAGTCGCCATACTATATCCAAGTTGCTTGCAAAGATTGGATAGTTAGCTTCTTTTCCTTAACTTATAATTTCTCTGTGTCTGTAAAAAATCACAGCGACAGAGAGTGGAGAGGAGATGAGGAGGGCAGAGGAAGAAAGGTCTTCTAGCCCTAGATGATTCCCCGGATGCCGCTGCTTAGTTCGAGCCATATATATTTGGGCTGTTACTTAAATTTCCAGTGTACAAAAAAAGTAGACGTGGCCAGTCAACAGTTTAGGGCTAGTTCCGGTTCAAAACATACTGATCCTATTTTTTATAAACCGAACCGACCGACAAAGATATGATTTGGCTCATTGAACTGGTGGGCCCGGTCAAGTTTTGGCCGAAACCGGTCAAACCGACAGACCATGGTGAGACTTTTTGCAATACCTCGCCTTTTGTTTCTAGAATTATGAAAATAATAGTAAATTTTCCGCGCTTAATATTTGAAATACTGATTTAATTTCGAAAACACATATTAACTGTTTCAAAAATACTTTTCTAACTTGTGAAATGCTACCTTTAAGAACTTCTTACTGAACTCTTTCTCTTTTCTCTTTTACTATTATTCATTCAGCCAAGTAAAATTCATTACTCTAATAGGTGCCATGAAAGATACTGGAACTAGGCATGCATAAGTCTGAGTACTCATAATCTCATACTGGTTCTGAAATATGGAAGCTAAAACATAATAAACACACGCATAAGTAAGATACATGTTTATGATACATGACATATAATAATGTGTGTCAAAATGTCCACTAAGCTCATGATTACGACCACCAAGAGTGCTCACGTGCCACGCTGGACTCTGTCACCTAAAAAGAAAGTTTGTGGTGGCGAGAGCAAAACCACTATGCTCTGCACTAACCGGTACGGAATACACTTCACAAACAGTAACATATCGTGACAGCACTATACAATAAATAAATCGGATCTGTGAGACTACCGGACTCTCTGGTACTCATATGCATACTTTGTTCACATAGCGAAGGATGTGCAACACAGCAGAATGATGAGTGGTTCTTGGAGCAGTCATAAACTGACTCACGATATAAATAAAGGATGATTTCTCGCAGGATATGTTGATTTCTATCGGGATAGGTTGATAACCGAGTTATCCGAACTCGGGTCGTCTCTCAAAGAAAGACGTTTCAAAGCTTCGTCTACTAATTAGTTGTCCAGAGGAACAAAAAGCGCAAATAAAATCCTAAACATACTAATAATGATGGTTGGGATTGATTTCAAACTATTGCAACTAAGAATTTAAAGCACTTAAATAAAGATGCAAACTTTGAACGAAAAATGCAAACTTTGGTTATCCGGAATTCCCTAGACTTGATGAAAACGAAAATAAAAGAAGAGATAATATGCTAGCAATAAGATCCTAGGTAATTAAACTGAGCCTTCTTAACTAAATAATCACGCTTTGACAAAGTATAGAGTTTTATAACAAGATAGACATAGATTTAACTCCTAACACTCGAGCATACAAGAAAAATATAACAAAGTCAAAAAGTTGAGCATGTACACAAGATTTCGGCCCAGATCGTAACTTCACCTTGATAAATACCATTACAGATTAAACACTACGAATTTAACTGTTAATATTGTCATTCTCAAAACAATATTAACTTAAATTCAGTGTAACACCTAAACTGGCTAAGGACCACCTTGAGCTCGCTCTCCTTGCCGGTAGGACGCCAAAACATGCACGAAACTCTCACACCAGAGGTTTATTTTGGTGAAGAGCCTCAAACGCTCAAGTCAGTCTTGAGAAGATGAAAAATATATGTGATAGTGTTTAATTGTTTATGAGAGATCGTGTGATTGTGAGAAACCTCACCCCTATATATAGGGGTGAGTTACCTGCCCTAAGAGCTGCCCGGATAAGCTGAGTTGCTGCCCCAGCTGCCCGGTCGTACGCTCCACTACCTCCACTATCTCAGCGTCAGGCATGTGCCAGAAACCGTTACTAGCATAAATCAATTAGCGTTTGCCATGTGTCCTCCGCACATGTGATGGAGATTCCCTTGGAGGTTCTGATGTCCGACTAGATCTGGGCAGGCCATTGAGCTGCCCTTAGAGTAAAGGTCTTTGATCTCCAAATATCTCAGCTCCGCTCCCTGTATCACTCGACTGACATAATATATCAAAAGTTGGGTCATCCCTTCCTCGCGCAATAATACCGAACTTATTGCATTCTCCCCAATAGATATGTAGAGCACCAACTCCTCCCCTTGCACAAGTTTAGCCAACAAAGGTAAATTAGCTAGCACCCAGTGCAACTCCTCGAAAGCCTTTTGAGCTTCGACCGTCCATTAGAATTTCGAACTCTTCTTCAATGTTTTGAACATCGGTCCACTATTCTCAGCCACTTTGGAAATGAACCTGCTCAAGCCAGCTATTAGACCAGTTAATATATGCACCTCCATTACATTCGTCGGTGGCTTCATCTCCACTAATGCTCGAACTTTCTCAGGATTCACCTCAATTCCTCGCTTCGTCACCATGTACCCTAAGAACTTTCCCACCTTCACACTAAAAGAACACTTTGCTGGATAAAGTTTCATGTCGTACCTCCTCAACGTCCGAAACATCTCCCTCAAATCCCTCACGTGGTCAGCCTCCACTCTACTCTTTACGAGCATATCATCGACATAGAACTCCATATTCCTCCCAAGTTGATCCTTAAAAATTTGATCGACCAGCCTCTGGTACGTTGACCACGCATTCTTCAAGCCAAATGGCATCACCACATAGCAATATGTATTTTTGCTCGTTATAAAGCTCACCCTCTTCCTATCTTCTCGGGCCAGAGGAATTTAGTGGTATCCTTGGGAAGAATCCATCAAACTGAGCAGCTCACACCCTGCTGTAGAATCCACAAGTTGGTCGATCCTTGGCAACGGTACATATTCTTTGGTCATGCCTTGTTTAGATCACGAAAATCGATACACATCCCCCATTTTCCCTGCGATTTCGACACCATCACTGTGTTGGACAGTCACTTAGGGAACTGAATCTTTTTGATATGACCTGCCTTCAGCAACTTTTCGACCTCCTGCTCAATCACCTTGTCCATCTCTACACCATGGTGCCCCCTCTTCTACTCATCAGCCTTACGCTGAGGTTGATGTTCAGTCTGTGCTCGATCACCCTCGCATCAATCCCTGTTAACTCCTTCATGGTGTAAACAAAAATATTCGCAAACTCCTTTATCAGCTCGACCAACCTCGTTCTAATCGGCTCCTCCAACTCCTTATCAATCCTGAATTTACGATCATCACAACCTTGCACCATCTGGATTTCCTCGATTTCACTACCAGGCTGCACATCCGCCTTTCCTTTTCCCTTGTCTCGCTTATCCCTATCCTCCTTCGACCTTGAACCATCTGGTCGGTCTGGCCCATTCTCATTGACTTTCACCTGCCTCATTGCCAACTATTTGTTATTACTCACGATGGTTTGGTAGCAACTCCTTGAAGTGAGCTGGTCTCTTGCGATCTCGCCCACGTTTTCGCCCACTGCATATTCGATCGTCATGTGGTACGTCGACACGAACGCCTAGAATGCATTCAGACCAGTCCTTCCTAGGATGATGTTATACGACGACTCCGCTCCGTCCACCACAAACATCACCATCCTCACCTTCCTGGTATCACCTGATCCCAACATCACTGTCAAGTTTACCTCTCCCATTGGCCTCACCTCTCCTCCATTAAACCCATCCAATGTCATCGCCACCGACTTTAGCTCCAAATTCAAATGTTTATTGATGTGCGCGAAACAATTCATAGAAAATCACGTCGACCGATCTCCCCGTATCAATGAATACTCTCTTCACATCAAAACCAGCCACCTCCGCCGTGATCACCAGTGCATCATTATGGGGCAATGAGATTCCCTCAGCATCCTTCGCTCGAAAACTAATCACCGACATTCGAGCAGTAATCCCAATCTCCTCCCTCTTTCGCTTAATCGCTCGAGCATGCTCCTTTCTAGAATTATTCGAATTACATTCGTTGGCCCTCTTGAGATCATGTAAATCGTGCCCCACTTCGCGGGCATCTCTCCTCACTGCTCTCATCTACCTTCGTTGTCTTGCCTCCTCTTATCCCCCTACCCAATCGACCACCACTCTCTCCTCGAGCCTCATCTTCCTCATCATCATCACTGTCACTCCTCACCACCGAATTTTCCCTACACTACTTCCACTCTTTCCCCTTTGCTCGATCACGGATAACAAACTCCTTCAAGTGCCCCGCCCTAATAAGACGCTCGAACCCATCCTACAAGTGTCGACAGTTTCCCGTGGTGTGTCCATAATCTTTATGGAATCGACAGTACTTGCCCGATCTGGGCTGGGTGGGCCCCTCAAATCTCACCTTCGGCCAAGTGATTTCATTATGCCCCAGCTTTTCCTTCATCGCTACCAACATCTCCACCATCTTTGAACTTATCGGTGTGAAATTGTTATATCTTTTGCCATGTGATAGAATGGGTCGCTCTTGCCAAAGATTTTCTCGCCCCTCACGCAATGGGCCTCGCTTATCTTTCCTGGGCGATAACCTCATGGGTGGACCCCTCTTGGGAGAATTTCTCCTGGGCGAGTTCGCCCTCCCCTTCTTTGTCTCAGGCCCGCCATATTCTCCAACTTGGCGAACTCCTCCTCCGTTTCCTCCAAGTTGATGTATTTCTTACACCTCTTCAGCACTTCATTATAGGTCCTAGCAGGGGTTTTTGCCAACGATGTTCGACAAGGCCCTGGCCGTAAACTCCTGATCAACCCTCCTGCTTTGACCTTATCCACAGTTGTAGGGATTTCCAAGCACGTTTGGTTGTAGCGAGCAACATACTTGCGCAGGGACTCCTTGTATCCTTGTCGCATCGCCATCAACGTGAGATACGTCTTCTCCTAGTCCACTGCGCTCGAGTACTAGTTGGTAAGCTGGCCAGCAAAGTCCTCAAAATCCTTAATCGACCTTGGA